TCAAAAAGGTCTATCCAAAGGCCAGAGGAGTTGAGGTAACATCATGGACATCATCCATGAAGAAAGCGAAAGGTCATTGAAAAGACAGGAAAGTCAGGGAAAGATGAAAATGTATGTCAAAAGACCTCCAAAACTTGCTCTTGAATGGATTGGTGTTTGAGATAAGTAGAGAGTGATACGGAAGTGTGGGGGCCATGTCTAATCTCAAGAACTGGTTTTGTGTTATTGATGTTGTTGGGGACAGTTCCTCTTTCTAAAGTTCATAGAGGTCAGATGCAGCAATTGCTCTTTTTACAAATATCCTAGCTGCACTGAAGGCATGAGCAAATCCCCCCCAACAGACTCCCAAATTTGGTGGAATTGCCAGTGTCAGATGGATCTTGCTGAAAGCAAAGAATACCAGAGGAATGTCTGTGTTTTATTGACTATGCAATGGCATTTAACTGTGCATTACAACCAATTATAGCTAACCTTGCAAAGAATGGGAATCTCAATCTACAACCAGGAATGAATGGGACCTTCTAAGAATCAAATCCCTATGCACATCCAAAAACTTCGACAGGGTAAAAAGAGAAGCCACAGACTGGGAAAAAAGTATTTGGTAATGACATGTCAGATAAGGGACTTATGTCCAGAATTTATAAAACACTTGAGTGCCACAACAAGATAAAGGTAAATAATCCAATTGATAAATCGGCACAGGATATGAATAGACACTTCACCAAAGAAGATATTCAGATGGCTAACAAGCACATGAAGAAATGTTCAAAATCCCTAGCTCTAAGAGAAATGCAAATCAAAACTATGAGATATCATCTCACCCCAGTCAGAATAGCAAAATTTAACAGAACAGCAAGCCACAAATGCTGGTGAGGTTGTGGAGAAACTGGAACCCTTATTCACTGTTGGTGGAAGTGTTAAATGGTGCAACCACTGTGGAAGGCATTTATGGAACTTTCTCAAAAAGTTGCAAATAGAGATACCATTTGACCCAGCAATTCCACTATTGGGAATATACCCTAAAGAGACCATAACTGACACCCAAGCAGATATATGTACACCCGTGTTTATTGTGGCTTTGTTCACAATAGCAAGGAGGTGGAAACAACCTAAGTGCCCATCAACAAACAAATGGATAGAGAAGCTGTGACATATTCACACAATGGAATACTGTGCTGCATTGAAAAAAACAAGGAACTCATGCAGTATTATTCAAAATGGGTGACCGTGGAAGACATTATGCTGAGTGAAGTAGCTCAGTCACAAAAAGACCAATACTGCATAGTGCGAGGTTGTAAAACAGGACATCGGGGTCAGGGGGAGAGTGAGAAAGATGGGTTCAATAATGTATATACTGCATTGAAACAGATGAGGGAGAAAACTGTTTAAAGGGATATGTGATTAGGTATTTTTGTCATGACAGGAGTCCAGAGCGAAGACTGCATAGTGGAGTGGACCTGGGGGGAGGGATTGTAAAACAATGAAAGAATTTTACTTTTTCAAGAGGGGAGTGTAGTAGGTGGGTGGGGAGCGTTGGGAGGGAAGAAAAGTGCAACAATGAATGAATGGGAGGAAAAAAGAATGTAGGGTAATTTTTAAATTACATATTTTTTATTTTTTTTAAAAAAAGAATGGGAATCCCAGAACACTTGATTGTGTTTTATATGAAACTTATACTTGGACCAGGAAGCAGTGGTCAGAGTAGAGCAAAGAAATACTGCATGGTTCAAAATCAGGAAAACAATGCATCAGGGATGCATCCTGTGTCCATAACTTTTCCATCTAAATACGGAAAAGATCATTTGAGAGGTTGGACTTAATGAGGAATGTGGCATCAGGATTTGTGGAAGACTCAACAACCTGTGTTATGCAGATGACACAACCTTGCTCACTGAAACTGATAAGGACTTGATAAGGATTTCTGCATTTGCTGCAGAAGGTAAGGGACTGTAGTCTTCAGTATGGATTGAAACGCAACATTAAGAAAACATCTCACCACGGGACCAATTAACAGCACCATGATAGATGGAGAAGAGATTGAGGTTGTTAACAACTTCAGCTTGCTTGGCTCCACAATAAACACTCTTGGCACCAGCAGTCCAGAAATCAAAAGATGAATTGCAGTGGGGAAACCTGCTGCCAAGAACCTCTCTAGAGTGCTGAAGAACAATGGTGTCAGTCTGGAGACTAAGGTGCACCTGATTCTAACCATGGGCTTTGCAATTACTTGGTGTGCATCAGAACTGGAGAGTAACTAGAATTAACAGAAGAATTGATACCTTTGAGTTTTGGTGCTGGAGAAGATTGTTGAACATACTGTGGACTACCAAGAGAACAAACAGGTTTATCCTGGAGAGGGTGAAACTAGTTTGCTCCTTGGAGGCAAGGATTTTGAAGCTCCATATCACAAACTTGTTGAAAGTGAAGAGGACTTGAAGTTGCTTGATGCAGAAGATCAAAGACTACCGCCTTTAATGTAAATTACATCTCAACATCAGGAAAACAAAGATCCTTGCCACTAGGCAAATAGGCAACATCATCATAGGTAGATAAAAGGATTTTGATAGTTGTAATAAAGTAAAATAGCTGAACAGAAATTTTCAAAGAACAGCTCAAGATGGCAAAACAAAGTATTATAATAAAAAGTGGAAAAACCTGGAGTTAGAAACCAAAACGGAAGAGCATGCTTGGCACTTCAGAGTAAAGAACTGAAGAAATGTCAAGCCTTGAGTTAGAATACTGAAGAATTCTATAGGGAAAATGAATGATGCAGGAAGCAAGCATCAAAAGAAGATGGAAGGCACAGTCACTATACCAAAAAGAAATGATTGACACGGATCCATGTCAGGTTATTGTTTGGTGCTGACAAGCTGGGTATGCACTCATTGCCACCCAATGAACAACAAATCTGAACCCTCTCCTATCCTTTATTATGTTATTTCAAACATTCTAAAGCCATTGCAGCAGTCATATGGTCAGTGCATCTGGCCGAGGGTATTCCTTTCTTTTGCTAACCCTGTACCTTTACAAGCACGATAACTCTCTCCAAGGAAGAGCCTCTCCTAACAATATGCCCAAAGTATGTGAAATAAAGCTTTGTCATCTTTGCCTCCAAGGAACCCTAGTTGAACTTTCCCCAAGATATATGTTCTTTTGGCAGCCCATTCAGTACTTTTCTCTTGCACTACAGTTCAAAGACTTCAGTTCTTCCGCCATCCTTATTCAGTGTCCAGCTCTTGGATGCATAGTGATTGAAAAGACCATGGTCTGAATCAGATGCACCTTGATCTTTACACTGACACCACTGCTCCTCAATAATTTGGAAAGATTCCTAACTGAAGGTTTTCCCAGTGGAATACATCTCCTTATCTATTGACTGCTGGTACCAAGGGTGTTAATTGTGGATTCTTGGATGTGTTCATTTGTCTATGCCAAACAAATTTGTAACACAGTTGGCCAGCCAACTTCAAAGTTGTTTTATGCCAGTGAGCTAACTATTCAAAGTGATCCTATAAACAACTACTCTGAACTTTAATCTATCCTGTGCCATCCTCAGGATCTATGATATGCCTGAACCCATCGTTACAGTCATATGTCAATTCATCTTGTTCAGGGTCTTCCTGTCTTTCTCTGATTCTCCACCTTTCCCAGTATGATGACTTTTTTCCTTCTGACAACATGCCCCAAATTTGTGAGACTATTTTACCATCCTTGCCTCTAAGGAGCTCCCTAGTTGCACTTTCTTCAAGATAGACTTGCTTGTTCTTTTGGCAATCCATGGGATATTTAGTATTATTCAGCAGCTTCACAATTTTAAGGTTCCAGTGATTTAGCAATCCATGGGATACTTAGTATTATTCATCAGCTTCACAATTTTAAGGTTCCATTGACTCTTTAGTCATACTTTCACATGAATAGGAAGCAACGGAAAAATATGGCAAGTTATGGCTCTAAGGAAAAAAAAAATAGGGGGGAGAGGGAGAGGAAGAGGAGGGGAGAGAGACAGAGAAAATGCTTCTTATAAATCCACGTGCTTAGGGCCAGTGAGGATATGTGCATACCTTAAAAGAAGCAGGCGCTCAGGTGGCTGAGAGCATTCCAGAAAGCCCACACCTTGGGATTCAATCTATACAAAACCTTAAAGAAAGAACATCTAGGGAGGACCGCGACCATAGCAAAGAGCCTAGGAAACTGGAATCAGAAACCTTCATGAACCCGGATTTTCTAATCCCACACAAGAAATCTGGCGCTTGCTGTTCAATTTGTAACGCCCTTCCTCCTTTACGCTTTTTATCTAGCTACAGACCCAAAAAAGTAACCACGTTCATTGCACGTTCATATGCACGTTCACTGCACAAACAAAAAGGGTCTTCTTGCACAACACCTGCAAAACCTGGAGTGGGGGTGAAGTGTGTGTGTGTGTGCACTTTAGGACCCAGGGATCTCTTCGGGATTGTCAACAATCCAAGTCCGCCAGGCCAGCGGCGAGGAGCGGAACCACCGGGAGGCTGCGCACTCTTGGGTTTCCGCCGGTCCTCCCCGGAAGTCCTGCGTCTGAGGCGTATGTAGTGCTTCCTGAAGCGGCTGCAAGTCATGTGACAGGTGTTGCAGTGTAACCTGACTCTGAGGTTGTCCCTCAAGTGACAGCCCAGAAAGTCCTGGCATCCCGGGGAAAAAGCCCAGGTAACTGACCCCACTCTGCCGAGCAGACAGGTTTGTGTCAGAGGATAGAGGGAGGGTTGCTGGATAGGGAAACTGGCGAGAAGAGGGCGCCCCTTCTACCTCTGGGACTCAGACGTGGGGCGTGGGGTGTGGAATGGGTAAAGAAGACATTCTTGCTGCCTTTCTAGATTGGGGACTTCTTGACTCCTTTGGACTCCCTGGTTCGAGTCCGAGAGCTACGGAATCGGGCTTGACCCGGATGAGGGCTGAACCGGCTTTTAGGCTGTGGGTGGATAAAGCGTCTTTGAGGAAATAGTCACCAGGGGTTTCTCTTCCAGGTGTGAACATTGATCCTGCGGGAGTAGGGGGTTCATCATGGCGGATGTGAGTTGACACTTCCACACCTGACAATGAAGAGGGTGGGGAGTTTGGCTGCTGGGTGGGAAGAGGTAGAACTTCCCAAGTAGAGATTTTTGTTTTATGTTCCTCCTCCTTACTTTATCCCCCACTAGGGTCTGGAGAGGGAGAGTAAAACGATTGGATTTGCTAACTTTTGAGTTTCTGCCTAGATTGTGGATAGAGGGAAAACACAGATACTTGAGAGTGAGAAACTTGTATTCTCACATCCCACTCATTCGGATATAAGAGACTCTAAATTTACCGTTTGAATTCCTCACTTTTTGGTCAGTAGAGTTTGCGTATTGAATCTCTTTATTAAATCGTCACTATGCCCCACACGGCATTATTATAACAATTTGAGATTTCATTTTTTTTTCACAGCAATGAAACCAACATTCCAAATTCAAGGAAATTCTATTAGTTCCTGTAAATTACAATAGATTACTAAGATTAATGTTCATATTCTACATTCTGTTGCTATTTTACTGGATATTCTTCTAAACATTGAACATGCATTAGTTTACTAAATCTTTGTAATAGCGCTTAGGAAGTACATACTATTATTGTTGATAGTTTATGAATGAGAATGCTGAGCACGCAGAGATCAAGTAATTTACCCATAGTTACATAGCTAGTTAAGTGGTGAAGTCCATAACCAATGCAGTCTTGTCTCCAAAGTCTTAAGCATCACATTAAATAGTTATATGTAATGATCTTTCAACATTAATTAAAAGCAATTTTTTTAGGTTCAAATATCATATACTTAAGAGATTTAAGAACTTTTTATGCCTTGACCAACCCTTTTTAAGGAACCTTTCATTATATTTTTAAAATCTTCCTTATATATTCTTTAGCCTAATTCAAATCATGAACTATTGTTTATCTGTCTTGCAAAAGTTTCTGTGAGGAGATCTAAGGGGAAAAAAGGGAGAATACATGATTAATTGTAATTCTTTAAGGGGCCTTATTTTTAAAGTCAAGTAGTTTTAAGTCATCTTGGGTATGCATACGTAGCAATAGTGTGAATGTTTAAAAGAAAGGAGAATTGTGTATGATTTCTGTCTCTCAGAAAAGACTGTTTAGAATATTTGATAGTTGAGATTTAGTTCTAAAGAATGAGAAGTTTGCTTTTAAAAAAAACAAAAATAAAGTTAAGATTGAATGGAAAAGATTTCTAGTAGAGTGAGTAGCATAAGTGCAGTCAGACAGATTAGCCAGAAATGAAGAAGTGTCCTCAGAGGGACTCTCAGTGGCTCAGCTTTGTTGAACTGAAGATAAGTGAAGGAAGTGGTGGAGACTCAGCTGTGAAATTTGACTTAGTACATGTTGTACAAATCCTCAGATGTCTAAAGAATTTGTACATAATCCTGTAAATAGCGAGACATTAAGACTTGGCTCACTCAGAATCATCCAAGACATCAACATCTTTAATGCTTCCCAAATGATTTTTGCAGAAAAGTTGATAAATCACTAAAATAAGTCTTTAGAGAAGGCAAATGAAGTGATTGACATTGTCTAGTGTTAGATTTAAAAATATAAGAAAGCAGGATACTATTTGAGAGATTAGTGAAACACAAATAATAGCATAAAAACAACATGGAAACTGTTTTTTCAACAGTGGAAAAAGAGGAAATGGTCCATTTTATTTGGCAAATGATTTAATTAAAAGTGGCAAGTATGAATTGGCATTAAATCTCACTCTAGATTTCAAACCTCATGATTAATGCCCTTAGTGGACACAAGAAGAAATTAAAGAAATGTGGATTCAGGGGAAACAGGATGTTTACTGTGTGTGTACAAGTGTGCTTAACATGAGAGCAAAAAATTGGCAGTTATATATTCATTCTGATTAGAAAAAAAAGAAGAAAAAGTTGTGAAGAACAGATATGTATGTGTTTCATCTACACAGAGGTCATGAGAGGGTATAATAGGACAAAATAAAATAGTTTTGTCTTTTTAGTTCTGATTACAATTTAGTGTAGTACCTAGAAAGGAGCTCTGGTGGTGTACTGAGCTACTAAATAAAAGGTCAGTTCAGAGCCCTCAGCCATCTACTCCAGAGGAGAACGTTCTGTTAAACAACTGCCAAAAAGATTTACAGACTTATAAACCTCATTGTGCTCTTGTGCTCTGTCTTATGATATTGTTAAATACCATCAAGTCAACTACAACTCAGCATATTTGATCCTTGCCCTATCCTGCACCTCACGCTCTCTAATATGCTTAACTGTATTGTTACGGTCACTGTGTCAATTCATCCTGTTAAAAGTCTTCCTTTGTTTCTCTGACCCTCTTCTTTTCCCCACCATGGTATCCTTTTCCAAGGACTGGTTCTTCCTGACAACATTCCTGAAAGCATATGAGACAAAGTTTCACCAGCATTGCCCCTAAGGAGGAGCACCCTGTTTGTGCTTCCTCCCAATTAGACTTGTTCTTTTGGAAGTTTATGGAATATTCAGTACTCTGCCACCACAACTCACAAGCATCAATTCTTTCTCTGTCATCCTTATTGCCCAATTTTCAGATGCATAGGAAGTAATTGTAAAGCTTTGACTTATATCAGATGCACCTTAGCCTTTAAACTGGTACTGTTTCTCTTTAGCGCTTTGGAGAGGTTCTTAACAGGAGACCCTATAGGGTCACTCAAAACATTCTTCATTGCCATCATACTGGAACCAACTAATAGCTGTTCTGCCTCTGGTTTTTTGAGAGCGTAAATCATACAAAGATTACTCATCTTTCTCTTAAGAGCTGCTGAACTGCTAGAGAGGTATGACCTTTGAGTTAACAGTGCAACTCCCCATGGACTATGCCACCAGAGCTTGTATGATCACTGTTGTTTGTGCCATTGAATCAACTACAACTCATAGCAACCCTGTGAACATCAGATCTTACCGCATCCCTATCCTGTGCCAGCTGCACCATCACCTTTTGTTACAGTTACTATGTCAGTCTGTCTTGTTGAGGGCCTTCCTCTCTTATGTTGACTCTTCACTTTCTCAGCATGATGTTCTTTTCCAAGAACTGACCCCTTCTGACAACATGTTCACATTAGTGAGACAGAGCTTTGCCATACTTTCCTTTAAGGAGCACCCTGATTGTGCTTTCTCAAAAACATTGTTCTTTTGACAGTCTGTGGATGTTCAGAACTCTCCTCCAACACTACAGTTTAAAGGCATCAATTCTTTTTTTATCATCCTTATTTATTGTCCAGCTTCCAGATGCATAGTAAGTTATTGAAAAGACCATGACTCAGAAGAATAGCAATCCCAGAACAGTTGATCGTGTTAATGCAAAACCTATACTTGGACAGTCGTCAGAACACAGCAAGGAAACACTGTACAGTTCAGAATTGGGAAGGGCGTACACCAGGGATCTGTCCTGTCTCCATACCTTTTCAACCTATATGCAGAACAAATTATCCAGGAGGCTGGGCTCTATGAGGAGAAGTGTGGTGTGAGGATTGGTGGAAGATCCATCACCAATCTGTGTTATGTAGCTGACACAACCCTGCATGCTGAAACTGAGGAAGACTTTAAGCACTTGCTGCAGAGGGTCAAGGACTGCAGCCTTCAATATGGATTGAGGCTCAATATCAAGAAGACAAAGATTCTCACCACTGGACCAATTGGCAGCATCAGGATGGATGGTGAAGAGACTGAGATTGTTCACAGCTTTAGTTTGCTTGGCTCCACACTCATGGCACCAGCAGCCAAGAAATTAAAAGACATATTGCGATGGGAAAGTCTGCCGTTAGAGACCTCTCCAAAGTACTGAGGAGCAATGGTGTTATTCTGGAGACTAAGGTGCGTCTGATACAGGCCATAGTCTTTGCTATCACTTGTTATGTGTCAGAGTATTGGACAATGACTAAGGAGGATAGAAGGAGAATTGATGCCTTTGAGCTGTGGTGCTGGAGAAGAGTATTGAGGGTACCATGGACTGCTAGGAAAACAAACAGGTTCATTCTGGAGAGGGTTAAACTGGGCAGTTCTTTAGAGGCAAGGATTCTGAGGCTTCGTCTAACATACTTTGGACATGTTTTAAGGAGGGACCAGTCCTTGGAGAGGGACATCATACTTGATAGGGTGGAGGGACAGTGCAAGAGGGGAAGACCCTCTGTGAGTTGGATTGATTCAGTGACTGGGGTAATCAGAGTGAGTGTGTCGGAGACAGTGAGATTGGCACAGGACAGGGCAGGGTTTAAGGCTGTTGTACATAGGGTCGCTATGAGTCACAAGTGACTCAACGGCATATAACAACAAAAACAACATCAATCTTTAAATTGACATTGTTGCTCTTCAGCTTTTTTGAGAGGTCCTTGACAGATTTTCCCAGTACAAGTATGTATCTTTTGATTTCTTGACCAGCAGTCAATTGTGGATACAATTATGATGACATTGTTGGCATTTGATCTTTTCTCCATCTCTCGTGTTGTCTATTGTTCCGGTAGTGAGGATGTTTATTTTCTTGATACTGAGATGTAATCCATAGTGAAGGCTGTGGTCTTAGATACTCTGTCACAAACATTTTAAGTTCTCCTCATTAAGAGTTGAAATTCATGCCCTAGCACTGGGTGTGGATTGGGAGCTTTCAGATTGTGAAAATAGTGTACTTACTGCTAACTGAGAAGTTAGAGGATCAAGACAACCCGGAGGGACCTCAGAAGAGAAGACTGATGGTCTATTTCCAAAACAAATGACCGTCCATTGAAAACATGCCGAGTACAATTCTCAGAACTTACTGTAAGGCAGTTGGTTTTGTTTTGCTTTGTGTTTTGGTTTAATTAATGTTTGATGCTAAATATGTATATTTTTACTTACTTATATGCATGGGAATATCGTTAGAAGTCATGTTAGAAAATTTTATGTATGGATATGGAAAGATGGTAATATATTCTCGTTTGAACTTGACAGTTGCAAGAGGATGTAAAATAGTATGGAGACTGTAATCTAATTTTACAACTAAAAGTGTATTTTGATCCCCATTTCCATGTATTCCATTCACTTTATATTCATATTCTCAGTGAACCCAATAACAATCCCATAAAGTGAGCGAGCACTGTGAGTATATCCACTTTACAAATCATGAAAATGAGACTCAGAGAAAATGTTAACTTCCTTTAATTTTATAATTAATAAATGTCAAACTCAGAAAGAGAAAGGTAAAATGCAGTCAAGAAGAGTTGCGAATACGATTTGCAGTTTTGATGTTAGATAGAAAGATATCTAGAAAATTTGTGGTAGGTATATTATTAAAATCTTTTTAAATATTTTTTTCCCTCTTTTAGGACCTGAAGAGATTCCTGTATAAAAAATTACCAAGGTAACAATGAATTTCTTGTAGAATAAATTTTGCTTTCTAGAATGTAGGTGGTATTTTTTTTCTATTTAGACTGCTACTATTTAGCCCTCTTGAATTCCAACCTGTAACTTTAGATGTTATGTTTGAGTTTTCAGATAGGTAATATGAAGAGTGAAATAAGTTTATGTTTGAGTTTTCAGATAGGTAATATGAACTGTGAAATAAGTCACCTGACTTTTCTAAGTCTAGATAGGTGGAGGGTGGGAATTCAGATTTCTTGGCACTTTAAGGTTCTTTCAGGTGTATGCTGTGTAATGAGTACAGACAGGTTTGAGGTGACCAACTCTGACTTCAGTGAACTCCACAAGGGGGAACAGTCTCTATCAACAGCATCCACAGTACAGATCTGATTCTTATGAGGTCATTTATGCCCTCCATGCTTTCACATCTACTTCTGCTAATACAACACTGGACCCTCTTGAGGACTCTCACTGCATTAGTAACGCCTCCACTAGTCCATGGCAGTGGCATCACAGAACTCGCTCAGGGTGGCAACAGGATATATTTCTTCAGTTAGGATAACTTCTCAGCTGTGCTCACAAGGCTGGCCTCACAACTCTAGGTCAGTGTTACAAAGTTCTCTTAAGCTTGACACTTAAAATATCTCTCCAAGAGTCCTCCAGCCAGTTTTGGCAAAGGCCCCCTACTTTAACTCAGTGGGTTGGTAAGTCACAAGTCACCTCTGTTTCAGACCAGTCTCTGGTCCTCCACTGCTGCTCTCAGTCTTAGTCAGTTATGCAGACAGCTCTGGCCTCTAGGATGCACGCCATATTCTCTGCTTCTTGCTGGTGGTGAGATTTCCATTTTCTGCTGCAGATCATGCTTAGCTGAAATCTGGTTGGGTAGCAAGGCTGACTAATCCTCTCACCGATAGTCTTCACACACATTAGACTTGTTTCTACCCAGCCATGTGGTAAAAATCAAAGGCAGCAGACTAGGAAACCTATTTTGAATAATAAACCTACTATACACAGAAGAATTTAATGAAACAACATATGAGCAAGAGCCTATGGTGATGAAGGCAGAAGTTCAAGCTGCTTTGAAGGAACTAGCAAAAAATAAGACCCCAGGAATAAATGGCATCCCAATTGAGATATTTCAGCTAACAGATGCTACCCTGGACATGCTCACCAAGTTGTGCCAAGAAATCTGGAAAACAACCACTTGGCCAACTGACTGGAAGAGATCTATATTTGTTCCCATCCCAAAGAAGGGTGACTCAACAGAGTGTGGAAACTGTAGAACAGTATCATTAATTTCACATGCAAGCAAGATTCT